TGAACACATTTTTTTATTAAGCCTTGTTTAAAGATTTTTTTTAAAAAAATGTATCAATGTGTTCTTATTCTCAAATCTATGCAAATCTTAATTAAAAATAAACAAGTAAGCAAACAAAATTGGAACAATAGCATATAAAAATTACAAACTAAAATGAAATAAGAAATACTCATGTTTCCTGTTAGAGTGTTTTATAAGAATAGAATAAATAGAAGTCTTTATTCTCCAAGTGTGATTGGACACACAAGGAATTTGTCTTGGTGCAAATGCTCTCAGTGTACATAAAAGAAAAGATACATTTGTCAAGACTAAAGAATCATAAGGTGCAATACTTAATAATAGTCATAGGGTACAATAAGCAATCAAATTATATTGGGAAACAGCCAATATAAACTGTAAGGATACAAGTGACAAAATTATAGTCATACAGTCACAAGTGGGAGGGGATGGATGATAAGGAGTGATGAGAAGATTAATAGTGATAGTAGTGCAGACTTTGTAAATAGCTGGACAGTGTTGAGGGAATTATTTATTTAGCAGAGATGGCGTTCAGGAAAAAACTGTCCTTGTTTTGGTGTGCAGTGCTCTATAGCGCCATTTTGAGAGTAGGAGTTGAAACAGTTTATGTCCAGGATGTGAGGGGTCTGTAAATATTTTCACAGCCCTCTTTTTGACTCGTGCCATATACAGGACCTCAATTGAAGGTAGGTTGGTAGTAATTGTTTTTTCTGCAGTTCTGTGTCTCTCTTTTTATATTGCAGAACCAAACTAGACAGTTATAGAGGTGCAGATGACAAACACAATAATTCCTCTGTAGAACTGTATCAGCAGGTCCTTGGGCAGTTTGAGTTTTCTGAGTTGGCACAGAAATACATTTTTGTTTTTTAAATCATCCTTCTTAAATATCAACCTGTATTTTTTTTTTTAGAAAAAATGTTTTCTAATAATTGTCTTTTCAATGAAATTATTCAATATATTTTAATTTCTGTATTTCTGTAAGAGGCATAATAACTAATGTATGTTTGTGTTTGTAGATGTGTGTGTATATGTGAGAGAGTTATATACGCATCATTATATTGCACACAGACATATATGTTGAGATTTTCTGAATGATGTGTCAACTCATTAAATATTTCTATGGTCTTTTTAGAGTTGCCAACAGAAAGGGAGGGGGGAGCAGTGGACAGCTTATACTCCATAAATGTTTTCAAAGATAGTTTTTAGGTGACCGAAGTTTCTGCTATACAAAATTCTAACTGGAGATTAGGATTGATGACTCTTGGCTATGGATGTGTCCCATTGGAGAATATGAATTATGATAGACCTGGGGGGTGGGGAAAACCAGGATCAAATGTGACAATAAATGATGTGTCCCAGAGTTGGCTACACCCAGACAGTGCCGACATGTTTACTCTTAATAAATCTTATTTAAGTTTTGGAAGTTCGGCTCGAGTCTCATAATTTAAATGGGGGTAACTGCCGAAGCCCAAACATGATGTGTGTGTGTGCATATGTATGTGTATGAGTGTGTGCGCGCACACCTGTCCATATATCTGCACTTGTCTATTTACAAACACAAACATATGTTCATTCATTCATACATCTCCTTTGTTTTATTTTTTTAAATTATATTTAAAACAACTTCGATTAATTAGTTACATTTATATCCTGCTACATTCACAATAGACTTATGAATGGGAGGTGACTTACTTTTGAGCCTTTGAAAAAAAAAATTCATGGTGGACTACTTTAAGAAACTGGTGTTATAAACATTACTTCATGAAAGTTTTCTCTATATTCTAACATTCCCTTAACAGCTTGCATGATAATTACATCTGCGTGATCATGGGAAAACAAAACAAATATGAATATCTAGAGCTTTTGGCCTTAAAGAGAAGATTAACAAATAAAAAGAAGCTTCCATATTGGATATAAAGGATATTATTTTATTTATTTGTCAAATTTAGCTATTGCCATCCCACTTTCAGCAGTGTATGCCCAACACTGCTGTCTGAAATATGACTGAAACTTGAGATGCGAATGGGAGGGATAGCCAATTGGTTCCATTGCTGTAGAACGAGTTCAACCATTGGCCATCTCACTGGGACAGTTCTTCATATGTCAGTGAATCAGTGTAAAACTGATGCAGGGAAAGGTACATGAAGATAGATATACAGAGAGATAGAGAGAGATAGAGATAGAGTGATAGAGATAGAGATAGATAAAGGGGGGGGGGTTTCTGAGACTGAGACCTAGATGATTTAGTACATACTATAAAGTAGAATTGGATATCAAAGATACAGTATAAATTTCAATTAAATCTACCCAGAGATAATAAGTGATATCTGTTCAAGAGATAATAAGTGATACCTTCATATTGTTCTCATTTTCTGGAATATCATATCCATAAAGTCCATTTGACCTCAACCCTGCTGCTTTTTGGAAAAGCTTCAAAAATATGGCCTTTTAAATATGTCATAGGTTTGGGAGATTTTTCATATTACTGCATAATATGCATGAAATATTCTTTCTTGACTTTTTTCTTTATATGTATATACTCTCTCTCTGTGTGTGTGTGTGAGTAAGTGTGAGTGAGTGTGAGTGAAGAAGTAATTTCTTAAATTATTACTTTTATTACTATCACCAGAAGTTTACTTTTTTTGCAAGTTAATTATTCATTAATATTTTCATGTGAAACAGAATCCTAATCTTTACTTAGAGTTAAATGTAAGGTACAAATTGCTACCTTTTTTCACTCTTCAATAGGTATTGAAGTTATTGAAGAGAAAAATAAAATTTTACACTTAGGCAAGAAAACCCAAATGTTCAGGTATACAATAGGTGGTACCAAAAGTGGTATTCAGCAGGTTCTGACCAGTTCTGGAGAACCGGTAGCAGAAATTTTGAGTAGTTTGGAGAACTGGTAGTGGAAATTGTGAGTAGTTCAGAATACCACTTCTGACTGGCTCTGCCCCCATCTATTCTGTCTCCCAAGTCCCAGCTGATCGGCTGGGTCTTCTTTTGTTAGTGGGATGGGAAAGGAATGGAGATTTTAGAGTATCCTTCCCTTGCACACCCACCAAGCCATACCCACCAAGCCACACCAGGTCGACCATGCCATGCCCACAGAGCTGGTGTTAAATTTTTTTGAATCCCACCACTGGGTAGTACCCAGCTCAATAGTAGTGAAAAAGATGGCCCTAGAATCAATAAGTAAATATGAGCAGCCATGCTTTTTTTTCAGTGATATTACTTACAGTCTTACTACAGCATTTGATACCCATTTAGGCACATGGGAAACCTGTGTTTACAGATTTACAATTAGGGAAATCAGCCTAGTTGTACATTAATATTTGTTCAAACAACTTCAACTTCAGTTATACATTCCTTGCCTAAATGTGACAGAAATTCAGTATTGTTATTGAGTTCCTTAGTGCTTAGGTTTATATAATTATGAAGCTTCCAAGATCCAATAGCATGTGAAACCATCCATAAATGTTTAAAACATTTAACATGATCAATTTTATTCTCTGTAACATTTTTTAGTCTTTTTAAAGCAAAGACTACTATTGTAGTTTTTTGGTAGTTAATCACCAAACATTGTTCTTTGCAGTTGTTAACAAAGTGAGTGATTAAGGCCAACTTAAATTTATCAGATAATAGTAATGCTTACATCATATAAAAGAACTGGTAAACTGAAGTGGATACAAATTAAATCAGTGAGATGACTGTTAGGGAAGTTAGATAAAAGGTAAGTAACATGAAGCCCAAAGTACAGTTTTGTCCTTCTCTTATCTAATAGATTAGCACCTGTCAAGTTACTCTGATATTACTTTTCATACAAACATTAAATGAGAGGGGCAAATGAATCTATGCTAGTGTTTTTCAATTTTCACCACTAGATTTCTCTGGAAATGAAACCAGATGTCTCTGAATGTACCAAGAACAAAAATAATGGAATACTTTGCTTTATGATGAGCCAAAATGGCATAGTGGTTAGAATGCAATACTTCAGGCTGCCTGCAATTTGGCAGATCAAATCTCACCAGGCTCAAGGCTGACTCAGCCTTCATCCCTCTGAGGTCAGTAAAATAAGGACCCAGATTGTTGGGGGCAATATGCTGATGCTGTAAACTGTTTAGAGTGGGCTGTAAAGCATTGTGAAACAGTATATGTCTAAGTGCTATTGCTATTATTGAGTATATCGTTCAATTTAATGGTATAAAACTAACACATGAACATAGGTAGGAAAATTAGAATGAAAACCTGTTTGTTCATTACCTCACATAATAGATTCTTTCTTTATACAATCTTGCAATTTACAATCTAGAAGACATGCATACAACTTACTAATTATGCATAAAAACTAATAAATCTATCAATTAGCCAGATCTGTTCACTTTCTTGAAGCTGAGGATAATGATGGCTTCAGCAATGTGGGATATGTCCTGTTTGATCCATGTATGTGAAGACAGAGGAAAAAAACAAGAATTCACAAAGTAAAATTCAGATTAATTTTATTTTGTATATGTGATTGCTTTATTATTAATATATTGTTTGTGTTTGTAAAAGAATATAAGAAGTATTGTAACTATTTCTAACTATTATAAAATAATCATAAAATACAATAATCACAAAGATTTCCTAGTATAGGTACAACAATAATATAAACATTTGGCAGCTGATTTTATGGCTGATTAAAACCCCTACAAAATAAATGTTTAAAGAAAATGTTAAAGTATCATCAGGTGAAACTGATATCTCTCACAAAGATCCAAACAATATAATGATTGTTGAAAATAAGAAGCAAAGTGTATAGAGAGAGATCAAGGGCTATACAGACCAACATTTTAAATATTTGATTGAAGAGGTGGAAAACAGTTGGGATAATCTGTCAACAAATTACTGTATGAATTATCATACAAAGAAAGCAGAAAGTTCAAAGATTTAAAGTAAATTCTTAACAATATTTTTGTTTTTAACCATCATAACTGTCCTCTTTAAAACCTAAATGATATAAACTTTCTTGATGTCTTCTTAATGGCATCCTTCACCTCCTTATTTCTCAGGCTGTAAATGAGAGGATTTGCAACAGGGGGAAGGACTGTATATAATAGAGAAAATATTTTTCTAACCTCACTAAGTGCTTCAGATTTTGGTAACAAATATACAATCATGATGGCTCCATAAAACATAGAAACTACTATCAGATGAGATGAGCAAGTGGAAAAGGCTTTTTTCCTCCCAATAGTGGAAGGAATTCTCAAGATAGTAATTATGATGTATATATAGGAAGTCATGGTAAGGACAAAAGGAGGTAGTGTAAATGCAAAGGTAAAGATAAAACTTGTAAGTTCTACCAAGCTGGTATCACTGCAGGAAAGTTTCATTAATGGAAGAGTGTCACAAAAATAGTGATCAATTTCATTTTGACCACAGAATGTAAGTTGTAGCATTAAACTTAAAAGGATCAAAGCAGCTATAAGGCCATTTATCCATGAAGAAACTGCTAGCTGGATACAAATCCGAGCATTCATACTTGTTGTATAATGCAATGGTTTGCATATTGCTAAATATCGATCATATGACATTACAGATAGGAGATAACATTCAGTAGCCACTAGCAAACCAAACCAAAAAAATTGCAAAAAACAACCATTGAATGAAATGGTATTTTCATCAGTCAATAAGCCGACCATCATCTTGGGTAAAATATTTGAAATATAGCAAGTTTCCAGGCATGACAAATTTCCCAGGAAGAAATACATGGGTGTATGAAGATGTTGATCAACAGCAACTAAAATTACAATGAGAATATTCCCAGCCATGGCTACAATATAAAACACTAGAAAAGTAAAAAAAAGAATAGACTGCCATTGTCCAAATTTTCCAAAACCCAAAATAATAAATTCTGTGATATTCATCTAATTCTTCAGGTCATTTATTGAATATTTTTTAAAATGAATATATTTTAAATAAACAGATCTTCTATTGCATCCTAGGGGAAAAAGAGAAATAGGATAAAACAGTAACCAATACATTCCTTCTGAAAAGGGTAATCAGTTCTTTCTCTCCTCGTGACACTTCTGCAATAATGATTTTATGTTAAAGGGCAAGTGAGTATTGCATTTTGCATTTTGCAAAAGAGTGCAAACACTCTTTTATTTTGATTTACTAGAACACTAAATATATTATATGAATAAAAGGCAAACCATTGTTCTCAATACCACATAAACTGTTTATCAAGAAACCCTTTTTTTTAAAAAAAATGATTGCATTCTTTTGGTTGAACATTGTCAGAAAAAACTTATGAAATACAAAGAGGCTTACCTCTGTTATATAACAACAAGGGCATCTTTGGGATTCAGAATGACTGTTGCAGCATTTCATTATTTATATCTACACTTTTTGAATATTTGTCTTTCTGGTGATTGGAAGCTTACATAATCATAACTTGCTCTCTTTCTATCTGTCTCTATTCCTCTCAAGAGGACATAAATTATCCCACAGGAGAAATGTTAATCTAGTGCCTATTGCTTCAATTCACTGTGTTAATGCTGCTATTCTTCCTGAAAAATTTCCTACTACTTTTCATAACAAAGTATCTCAAGAAAATAAGCGCACCAATGTGCCTACCGTCCCTGTCCTATTGTTTCTCTTATTCTTTTATTTTTCTTATATGTACCCATTTCATATATTCACAACTATGTATACACTTGTACTTATTATCTTGTAAACAATTGACAAATCAAAATAAATAAATAAATAAATAAAACTCTGTGTCTCTACCGTTTAGTATTAGGCCATAAATCTTGTTTTCATAGCTTTTTTTACGAATATATGCTATTAAGTTTGTGACCCAAGAAGCATCAGCTTTCTAATATTCCCAATTTTTACTTCGGACAAAAATATACAAACATTCATACATATACAAACATTCAATAAAAAATGTTGGGGGGACGACTAATCAATGGTATTCAGTACAGAGACAGCTTATACTTAAATAATCATTGGTAGAACTGAGATAGAGGCAGTGCATCTATCCTCGTGTATCTTGAAGCCTTACAATTTTCAGTACCATCAACCACAATGCCCTTCTGGATCAACGGCTTCTTTGGGAATGGGAGACACTGCAGTACATTGATTTGCCCTCTGCCTTAAAAGTTAATCCCTGTGAAAAAGGGAAAGATCATGCTTACTGCCCCTTTTTTGGGTGCTTCAAGGATTGATTCTTCTCAACAGGGATATTCTTTAGACATGTGCAATACTACTACTACTACTACTACTACTACTACTACTACTACTACTACTACTAATTAAAAAATAAAATTATTCTTTTTCTTATGAAACTGAATGCTGTAATTGATGTTAATATAACTACATGTGATCAGACTGGCTAAATGACTTGATCCTTTTAATTAGTCACCATTACAAAAAAACAAGGAAACAAAACACACACTATTTAAAAGATTTATTTATTTTTCTTTGGTATTCCATTGTACATTCATGAGTACTATACACATTCTAGAATAGAATAGAATAGAATAGAATAGAATAGAATAGAATAGAATAGAATAGAATAGAATAGAATAGAATATCAGATCAGAGTTGGAAGGGACCTTGGAGGTCTTCTAGTCCAACTCCCTGCTTAGGCAAGAAACCCTACACCACTTCAGACAAATGGTCATCCAAACTTAGCTTTTTAAAGTGTATCTTCAAAAACCAAGAAATCAACATAACCCAAAAATTCAGATCATTATAGAGAGTAGGAATAGGGTGAGAATCATATTTAAAATGTGAAGCTGTCATTTTAATTTAAGCAAAATTTGATTGCCCTTTTCTGTATGGTTGAACAAATAGATAAAACATGCATTTTAATTAAATGATTCAAATAATTAGTTGATCCTGATGTTTAGTCTCAATGATAAATTGGATAATTCTTCCAAACATTTGGCAACTGATATACTGATTGACAAGAAGAAGTAAGGATATATTGGGAAAGACCATCATTTACAGAAATCACCTATGAGTGATTTAGGACCTGACCCAATAGATGGAGAACAATCTAATTACTACCCCCAAATTAATATAATAATTCAGGTAAAACACTAATAAGGCATGAACTAGGTTTTTAGTTATTTCTAAAGAAAAATATTAATAAGTTCAGAAAATAAAAAAATTACAAGTTTCATGCATTTTAATGATGATTTAGATAAGAACTCCTAAATATATCACAGATGTCTGCAAAGGTAAAGAAAAGCAAAACACAAAGAAGCAAGAAAAGCAAAACACAAAGAAGCAATCACTATGACAACAGAGTACTTTTTTTTGCACTTGTAATAGAATCAAAACCTACAAACTATAACTCCTTCAAGCACATCTATCAAAGTTTCTGACAACCTGTAAGGCAATGCTTTGGTAAAGCAATCAGATTAGAAACTCCTGGAATATAAATCAATTATTGATTACGGGTATAACCAATTATAATTTGGATCTTTACTATCTGAAGCAATTCAATGTAATGTACATTCCATCCTATATAGTTCGATCATTCTCAGAGGCTCTGCCTTAAGTATCCTTCTGCATAAAGATGGGGTGAAAGTGTACTTGATAAGGGACTTGGACACTTTGGCACAAATAGGCCTGATGGAGTTTCAATAACATAATATTGTGATTTTAATGTATAAATAAATATTTTTTTAAAAAAAACACCTTGAAATAATATCAAACCTTTCACAGATATAGCATTTTTATATCCTAAATGGAGAAGTTGGTTTGTATAGTATCAGTCTACCAATACTATTTCTTAGGGCTTCTTTGACCTCCTTATTTCTTAGACTGTATATAAATGGGTTTGCTAATGGAGGCAATGCTATGTATAAAAAAGAGGAAAATTTTGGCACATCTGCTTTTTCAGTTCTTGGCAGCATATAAGCAATCATAAGAGATCCATAGAAAATAGAAACCACAACCAGATGTGAAGAGCAAGTGGAAAAGGCTTTCTGCCTTCCAGTGACAGAGGGGATTTTTAGGACAGAGTCTATAATATATACATAGGATAAAAATGTTAAGAGAAAAGGAGGAAGTGTGAAGATAGCAGCTACAATATAACTCATAATTTCCAATAACCAAGTTGTACTACAGGAAATGCTTAGAAGGGCAAAATAGTCACAGAAATAATGGTTTATTTCATTAGATCTGCAAAACGTTAATTTCTGTAACATCAAAATGAGCAATATTGAAAATACAGCAAATCCATTGATCCAAGATGAAGTTGTTAAATGAATACAAGTCTGAGAATTCATGGTTGTCAAATAATGCAGTGGTTTACAGATTGCTAGATATCTGTCATAAGACATCACACACAATAAACAGCATTCTGTAGCTACCAAAGAACTACACAGATACCACTGCATAAAACAGTTACTGAAAGAAATTGTTCCATTTCCAGTTAGGAGAGCTGAAAGCATCCTTGGGAATATATTGGAACTATAACAAATTTCAAGAAAAGAAAGGCTTCCTAGGAAGAAATACATAGGCACTTTAAGATGCTCATTGAAAATGACTAGCATAACAATGAGAAAGTTTCCAATCATGGTTACAATGTAAATTACTAAAAAACTCAGAAAAAGAAAAGTTTGAAATTCATAGAATTCATGAAATCCAAGCAGAATGAATTCATCTATCTTTGTCTGATTCCCCAACATTGTGGCAACTAGGAAATCCACTTCCTATTTAAAAAAGAAAAAGAGAAAAAATGCACAAATTAAAGATATTGTCATAGACATATTCAAGCTTTTTTCTTAGTTTGTTCTTATTTTGACCAACATGTCAAAGTGTTTAATGTCTTATCTATCATCTGACTGACACACTTTAATTTTTTTCTATACTTGATATAGATCCTATTATACCCTATAATAATAGGATTGACAGAGATAGCTGAAAGATGTTATATCTCTAAATTTCATTTGTTTATACTCCCAAAATATTTATATTTATGTATATTTTGCTTTTCCTGACAATTTTATTTAAATGGACTGACCATTGTTCATGATGCAAAACATGGAACTAATCAAAGACTATTTTTGTCATATTATTTTGAAGGATAGAATGTGAATCTATAAATTAATCTAATGCAAATAAAACAGTTTAATGTCCTTTCAACTAATACTGTTCTAAACCCAATTAAATGCATACATATTTATTTTTGTATTGTATTTTAAAAAGAAGTATACATAAGTTTCATTATGATACATTGTTATTATCATAACAACATAAAACACTTTTTAGATGAAAATTCTTGTTTATATGCTGCTTAAAACATTTCTGCTTTCTATGAAGCTATCTTATGTTGAATAATATTTCCACATACAGTCAAACATTACATTTGCATACACAAATATATTAAACAGAAAAAAATCTTTTTGACTCTGTCAAAAAATATTAAAAACTACGGTTTACATAGTTTATAATTAAATATAGGATAAAATAGGTATTCAAGGGCAAAGCTGGCAATAAATTATATAGTTCCAATGCTCAGAATATAATAATGAATAGATTTTTTGGTTTATCTATACTATATTCTAATAATGATATAACAGAATATCAAAAGTATAATCACTTAAACTAAAACAAAAATATTATTTTCTATTTGTTGGGCACCTGGAATGATATGTGGGAATGACCTAAGGAGACAGGAGGAAGAGCTACAGACTAGACAACCATCATGCAAAATATTATCCTAAGCAAGATTCTTTTTAATCTAACCTTACATTCAGCTAGTATTCATGGTTATGCTTCATCTGGACTACCTTGAAAGTTTAAAATCAAGATTGTATGTTTAAACATATTCCTCCTCTACTTTCATTTCATTATCTGGAACATGAGGGAAGGTCCGTACTGGAATGCTTCCCTTTGCATTTTC